TAAAATCAATACCTTTTACAATAGTACCAAAAAAAATGAAACTCTTAGAATCTACGTGGAAACTCTTAGAATCTGTGTAGAATTTACGTGCTGAAAACTTCAACTACTGATGAAATAAATCAAAGGAAACCTAAATAAATGCAGAGAAATGCTAAGTTTGTGGGTTGAAAGATATTCAGAAATTGGAAAATTGTTAAAATGTCAATTCTTCTGATATTCATCTATAAATTTAACACAATTGCAATCAAAATCCTAGTAGGTTTTTTTTTTTTTTGTAGATATTGACAAACATTCCTAAATTAATATAAAAAGGCAAAGAAATGAAAATAACCAAAATAATGTTTAAAAAGGAAAGAACTGGAGGGTTCACACTACCTGATTTTAAGGCAGTATATGTCTACAAAATAGTGTAGTATTTGTAAAACAATAGAAAGATCAGAGGCACAAAACAGAGAATATAGAAAGAGACTCCTACAAATATAGCCAAGCGATTACTGAAAAGTTGCAAAAGCAATTCAATCAAGAAAGGATTGTCTTTTCAATAAATGGTGTTAGAAGAATTGGGCATCCCATGTGCAAAAACCAATAAGCCAACGAATAAAAAAGTCACCATACATAGCTCCCACCTAAAAAATAATAAGAATTCAAAATGAACCAAATACTTAAGTGTAAAATGTAAAACCTTAAAACTTATAAAGCAAAACACAACTCTTTGTAAACTTGGCTAGTCAAAAGAGTTCTTAGATATACCAAAGACATGATCTCTAAAAGAAAAAGTTGATAAATTAAACTCCACAAACTTCAAAGACATTTACTCTGTGACAGAAACTACTAAGAGAATGAAAAGACAAGCCATAGATGGGGAGGAAATATTCAGAAAACTTATCTGACAAAGACATTGTATCTAGAACATTGAAAGAACTCTCAAAACTCAACAATATAAAAGCAAACAAACCATTTAAAAATGAGCAAAAATTTTGAGCACTTTACTACAAATGATAGACGGATAGAAGAGAAGCACAAAAGTAGATGCTCACCATCATTAGTCATTAGGAAAGTCCAAATGACAATCTTGTATTATTGGCTACAATTTGTTCCTGTGCAGAGACTGTGCGAGATAGCTTCAACAGTTCGGTCCTTTTCCTCCCCTCGTTATAGTGCATTCACTTCTGACATTATGTTGAAGGCCTGTCCCCAAAGATAAAGCCTCGGATCGATTCAAGTTATCGTTTTCTCAGCATTGTAGGGACCATTTGTGAATGGCACTCTGTTTACTAATCTTTATCTGCATGTGGCCTGAGATGAGCAGGTGAGCAGGCATGTCAGCCCCTCCCTGGGTCCTCCTGGGCCTCGAGTTACAAAAGGTGGAAAACACAGTTGCATGGGCATTATGATAATACAGGTGTTTGTATGTGCATCTCAAAACCTTCATCACCTTACGCCATTGTGTAAGGTTAGTATTAGGAGGGACACATTGGGACTGTGACTTATTATTGTATTTATAACAGTATTTTGAGTACATTAGAAACTTAATAAATATGACTACTAGGATGGCTTTAAGATTCATGCCATGTCTTTTCCTTTCTCCACTGAATACTCTTCTCTTTAAGGTTAGGGCAGCTGACATCTGCAAACTCTAGATTCAAGATCTTGTGCTTCAAACAAGACCTTAAGGAAATTACGGAACTAACATAGCCTTTTTGCTTTCTTCTGTAAAATAGGATCATGCTACCCAGACTACAGGGGAACTGTTAGGAATGAAAAACAAAACAGGCCAGGCATGGTGGTTCACGTCTGTAATCCTAGCACTTTGGGAGGCTGAGGCAAGATGATTACTTGAGCTCAGGAGTTCAATACCAGACTGGGCAACTTGGCAAAAACCCATCTCTACTAAAAATACAAAAAACAAATTAGCCAGGCATGGTGGCACACACCTGTACTCCCAGGTACTCAGGAGACTGAGAGGAGAGAGTTGCTTGAGCCTGGGAGGCGGAGGTTGCAGTAAATGGAGATTGTACCACTGTACTCCACCCTGGGCATTGGAGTGAGATCCTGTCACAAGAAAATAAAAATAAAAAAGGACAATACACAGGAGTCTGTACATGTTGCCATTGTCCCTGGCCTGTAGAAGCTGCTCTATGAGGTTTCTTTATCTACTCAGGATGCGAAACTTTGTGTACTGCTACTTTAATATCTTTTGTCTTCCACATTAAAAAAAAAAAAAAAAAGCAACTCCTCGGGAGAATAAAGCACACCACAAGGATTGCTACATCAATAACCTCTGTGAGAGATGTTGACTTGTCATCTCCATGATGGATAGAACAGAGAGCAAACATCTCTGAGCCAAGTTGATGCTGATTCACTGAAAATAATGAGGTGAACATCCTGGCAATTAGTTGAGGTAAAAAAATTATCCTTTATTGTGGTTTGGTGACATTTTGCTAATTTAGAAACCATGGATGCTGGTTTATGTGAGAGTTTTTGTTTTCTTTCAAGTCTCTGGTTGGAAACATCACATGGTTGGTTGCTGTTGCTGTTTACTGCCACAGCCTGTTCAAGTCTATTCTCGGAGAGTTTTCTTCATATAGGAGTTGATACTAATCCAAGTGTAAAATCCGGAAAAATGTGTGCACAGCTTTCTGTGTGGATTCTTAGCTGAGGTTTGAAAAGTGGTCTGCTTTGAGCTCATCTGACCAGAAGATCTGACTGCTGCGGGGCAAAGAAAAGGGTCTGTCAGGAAAGGACTGGGCACCCCAAGTGCAATACGGAAAGAGAAGGGCTGTGCCTCCTTGCAGAAAGGGGCACAGCTGGTGAAGCTGCCTTCACATCGTCCAAAGTTTCCAGTTCTGGAAAGTTCCAGCTGTAAGAGTGAAATCAATGCCAAGAGGCAGGTCAGTGGAATGAGGGCCACTGAGAAACTAGCCACAGTGGGTGGAAGGGGAAGGATATTTGATTTTGGGAAGTCTGTACTCAGGTCTTCAGTAAGGAGTTCTGAAGTCAGGGTGAAGCCTTTGTTTATTCTAGAGGAGGCGGGGTTTGGAGTCTGGGAAAGAAGATAACTTCTCAAAAAGTGAAAAAAGCTCATGTAAAGGGTGCTGGACAAAATAATGGGAAGGAATAAATCAGCATTGTAGAGAATGTGGTTGGATCATAAAATCCCAGCCTATAGAGATTATGTGCTCAAAGCCTCTGCATTTTATGTGAACACACACAAACCAAATGTCGACCAAATGCACAAAAATGTGCATATATGGAACAGTCAGCCACCAATAGTAACCAGCATTTCGCTTCTCTTTGCATCTCAGTTGGCTGTACCTGTAAGGGTCTAGACTTTGCCTCCTTCTAGTTCTAGCATTCTGACACTGTGTGCAGCGAAACAGAAAACCCGGTTTGGGAGTTAGGTTTGCCCAACAATGGATATTCTGGGGTGATTTTCATCCTTTGCATTTGTCATTACGATGTTTGTTTTGTGTGCTTGTGCAGATACAGGACGGTTCCTGAAATGTGTCTCTGAGCATTCTTAACTGTGTGTAAGGTAAGTCAGGAAAGTGTGTAAGACAGAGGCCAAGAACACCTGTCACAGGGTACCCGCCTAGAGTGTCTGTACTGCATCCTTTCTGCTACACTGTTTGCACACACACAAAAGGGCCCAGGAGCCGGGGCTGGTGTTGAATCTGCCCAGTACGCGTGCTGGGTGTTGGAAGGATGGGGCCGGCGGTAACAAGAATCAATATATATTTACCGCGGGGGCGGGGGTGGGGGTGCGCGGAGGCTGCAGGGCGGGGCAGCGCTAATGAGAGCAAGCCCGGCTTGTGGTTGGTTCCGGAGTCTGGTACCCACAGAGGAGCAGGCAGGGAGGGAGGGGATGCAAGCGGGAGGATAAAGCGATGAAGTGTGCTGCGTTACCGCGCATCAGGCGCTGTTGTTGGAGCCGGAACACCGTGCGACTCTGACCGAATCGGCCCCCTCCACGCGCACACACTCGTCGAGCCGCGCGCGCCCCTCCGCCGTGACAGTGGCCGTGGCCGCCGCTCGCTCGGGGCACCCGGCAGCCAGAGCGAGGCGAGAGCGGACGGTCGCCAGGGTCCCCTCCCCAGCCAGTCCCAGGCGCCCGGTGCACTATGCGGGGCACGTGCGCCCCCCAGCTCTAACCTGCGCGCTGACAGGAGCATGATCTGTGCCCAGGCCAGGGCTGCCAAGGTAAGCGGGCGTCGCGCGGGGACACTGCCTGCCGCCCCTTCCCCCCGCCCTTCTCTGGGCGGCTTCCCCGCCGTACGCGAGGCCCCGGCAGCGCCCTCCCTTCCCGGGGGCGAGATCCACCCTCCTCCCCACCCTCTCGCTTCTCCCGCGAGGTTCAATTGTCAGCCTGGGACGCGCCGCCGCCCGGGCTGGGCCGGCATCCCCGGGTGGCGACCCCGGCTTGGGTACGGCAGGCGCACCCGGCCCTCCTGCGGGGCACGCAGAGAAACAAAGAAGCCCCCAAGCGGGTTCGCAGCGCCTCGCCCGCTCCTCAGCGCCCTCCCAGAGGCGAGGAGGTGTCAGGGGAGGGGGCGGAGAGACCTACGTAATCCCCCTTCCCAGCCCACACCCACCCCTTGTGAACCAAAGCTCTGGATTTGCGCTTCGCCTTGGGCTCGCTTTTGAACAATTGTGTCCCATGCAATGCCGGTGGTTAGCCCAGCGAGCGCCCGGAGCCTCCGCACGGGCTCGCCGGTGCTTGCTCGAGGGGCGCGTGGCCAGGTCCGGCCCTTGCTCCCATGGATGGTGCAGGAGGGGAGGAGGCGCGGTGTAGGTGCTCCCCCAGCGCCTCCCTGTTCCCCGCCGGCTGCGCCGCTCAGCCGGGCCTGCCACCTGAGTTTTAGCGGGAGCAGCCCGTCATGTCGCCTACCGTATTGCGACTTGCATACAGGCAGGGAGGGAGCCACCGGGGGAAAAAATGCGTCCGGTCCATTTTTGGCTGGAGGTGCGCTTCCTGCTACCCCTACGTTCCCGGGCGGTGACAATGCAGCAAAATCCGAGGGCTCAAACAATGTGGCCCCTCCATCCCCGGTTCCAGGGCATTCTGATTGCTCTGCCGCTCTGACGTCCCGACCAGTTGGCTGATTTTCAGAGCCATGATGCGCGGTGTCTCTGTCTTGCACACAGAGGCTGGGCACCATAACTTCTTCCCTGCCGAATTTCAGCGCGTGGGGGGAGCTGGCAGGGACACAGGCTGCAGAGATGCCCGGCTTCCTGTGGTTCCGGGCACAGCGCGCCTCAGTCTGCATTGGGCTGACACCAGATAGCATGTGGGGATTTTCCTAGTTGCCGAAGAAGATAATATTTGACGTTGCTGTAGTTTTGTGCTTACTTCTCTTGGAATCTGCAGTGGTGCAATTCTCCCCTTGTTTTTTCCCCCTTCTCTTTGAAAAGATATCAATGCTATGTTCAGCAGAAATGGATACAGCAAGAGCAACATAGTTCAAAAATTGAGGGAGGCATCTTCTCTCTTTTCCTGGGATTTAAACGCTATTTAGGAGGGCAGATGCCCTACCCGAAAAGGCCAACCTTTAAAGACCCCGGCAGTGTTGTGGTCCAAGGCGTCTCAAAGCAGGTGGCCAGATCTGCGTTTCTCATCAGCGGACTCGCTCCGGCTGTGGCTATTACGGTAATTCATTCTAGATTGGGGATTCATTTTAAAATGTGTGTTTTCCACTAAGAAGGGATTAGAGTCCACATGCCCACCCTGATATGAATGTGTGTGCCTGTTTGGTAGAGAGATAGATTGTGGTAGAATTCCCTGTTGCCCGTTCCCTCCGCTTGCTGCCTCCTCTGGAATGTGGCATTGGAAAAACAAAGCACTATTTTAATTCCTAGACCTCCAGGCAAATTGGCCGTTATAGTGTTTTATTTAATAAACCACGTTCTGACTAATTCCACACTATAATCCCAGTCTAGTGCAGTTGGCTGCTTTGTGGAATGACAGTTCTCTTTTTTTGTCTGGGGCAGTTTTTTCCTGAAGGCAAATTGCCTAAGTTTGTTTAGATTGTGACATTATTGACTTGGTAGGGAGGCCACATCCTGAGCTGGAACAGCCCATCAATGCATCAATACAGAGGGACTGCAGCTCTGTTATTTGTGTATTTTGACTTGATTCCTTTTACACTCTGGCTTGTAAAGATGGATGTATTACAAGATCACTTTGAGCTTTACCTTCTATTATGCTTCCATCTGATATGATTGTTAACAAAAGAAATATTAAAAGGCCAGATGTGATATTGAAAAACAAGCCTGAGTCTTATTCCATATGGTAAAGGAAGTTGGACTGGTTGGTTTCTATCGTTCTTTCTAGTTCCAGCATTCTGTGGTAACTGACAGAGGAGTAAGAAAAGTTACCCAGTGTTGGGAAGGCAAATAATTATAACGTGAACCATGCAAGCAAACCAAGGATTGATTATAGAATCTATGGCTTATTTTTATACCTTGCAGCTTTTAAAACCCAAGCGTCTGCATTTTCCCCATAAGTGAAATTACTCACCAACTCAAACAGGTCTTTTTTTTTTTTTTTTTTTTTGTCCACTATAGCAAAACATTTGGTGGGGGTTGGGGAAAAGAGAAGAAAATTGAATTAATTGGATAACAGGTTTTCTCCTTTTGTGGAGTTATTCATTCCAACCCCATCTTAGATAATTAGGAATTTGCTTTTTCCAATAATTGGTTTTTGTTTGTTTCTAATGAGAGACTCCAGATAGCTGTTTCATCCTATGCAGTAATTGACAATGGCATGAGACTTACTTTCTCTGATGTAATTTGGTGTTGCTCACAAAACTTGCTAGTGCTGTTGCTTGTTATAAAAATGGTGAAGCAATGATTGGCCTAAATAGGCAGGCAGGCAGGCAGTGTTTTCATGTGCTATGGTAATTTTTATAATTTAGGTATAGTCAAGGTATTTGTTGATTCATGCCACACAATTTTCTGTAGTTGTGCACTCATTTGTTTTAAGTTACAATCAAAATAAGATCCTGAAATTACATTCCCTGCAAGGCATAATTAACCACTTCTCCTATTTTCCTATAGCCTTTTTGTTCATAGAGCCAAGATAGCATTTCAATATTGAAGTTATCTGAGTTGTAAATGTGCCACAGTCTCCTTATCTAAATATGGGATGAGCTTCTTCAGAACAAGGATATGTTTATATTCATCTCTGCAGCACCTAGCAGTTTGCCTGGTACATCATGTGTTCTCAGAAATGTTTATTGAGTGGATTTCAGGTCATAAAAATGCCCTCTAATTGTATAGGCAGGAGGTAGGTGGGAATCCTTCACTTTGTGAGTCAGCTGGGGGAATCAGAGAGGTTATGTAAGATGCTTAAGGGGGAACCGAGAGCCAGGACTCAAATCCAGGCCTTCTACCACGCTGCCTCTGAGAGAGGCTCCACCCACCCTCAGTGAACAAAAAAAACCTGTAGAGAATGAGTTCCTATGCTATAGGTTTTGGTTATTTATTTTTTCCTTGAATGATCTGGATTATCCATTTTGACAAAATTTACCTGATAACTGCTCTGTTCTGTCTTGCTCTGGCCTTAGAAGGAAACATGACCCAAGCACTCTGTCCTCTAATCCACACTTAAACAGAAGACGTGAGCACCCTTCTGCCCACTGTCTCTCTAAGTCCTGATTCTATCAACTAGAGCTTGCTAGGATGATGGACATGTCTAGGGAATGTCTACTCATTATTTGCTCAAGCAACATTGAACCACTGTAAATGCTTCTGAAATGACCTACAGTTAGACCAGAGACAACCATCCTTCCTGGGCCAGCCAAGCTTGACTGAGTCTCCCAATAGGCAGGTTTCTAGACTAACAGGTGTGACTTACAGACATCAAGACACCTGCTTCTCTCCCATTTACCTGCTTCCTTTTCCATCTGAAAAAACAGGACAAGCTACATTAGGAAACCAGGAAGTTGCAATACCCACATGTCCTTTCTGTAAAGCAATTGTTGGCACATTTGATGTTCACGGACTTTTAGAGAAAACAGTATGAAATGCTGTGTAGGGTTTTCTTCAAGTCACTTTTCCTCTTTGAGGGTTAGTTTCTTCTTCTTTAAAAGTGGAAAGTTGAACCAAGTAATCCCAAAGGTCACTGCTAACATCATCATTCTGTGATTATTTTTGTTGGTTTATTCAGTTGAGCAAATTGAAGGGAGATAAAGATTAGAAATAATTTAACTTGGCAATATGTAGAGAAGAAATAATTAAGGCTACATGGGTCAGCCTGTGGGTTATCTAATAACTACTTGGAGCCTTCTGTTAAAGCTATTCTTTATACATTTCTATAGTAATCCTTTCTTATTTGTAAAACTAAATTTACTATACTGAGGGGAAAGATTTGTGGCATTTCTTTTTCCCAGTGAGGAATGCAGTGGTGGAAAACATATGCAGTCTCCAAAATGTACAAAATGTTTAGAATTTGGGGGTTTAATAGCCAAGGTTCCAAGCATTTTTATTCTCACCACTGAGTATGTTTCACAGCTGAATAACTCTTATGGTCAAAGTGTTCCCTGCAATTCATCCAACAAATTCCCCTTTCAGTTTCTCTCTGGTTCCTCATTTTGCTCTTTTTTTCCACTTCTCTAGCTCCACCCAACTTCCTATAACATCCCCCACATGCATAAGCCATATGCCAGTAGTACACTGCCACCCCCCAGCCACCCCACCAAAGGCAGGAGTCAGAGCTTCACAACCTCCTTACTCAGCTCAAGCTTTTCTACTTTCTGAGGTTTGTTCATTACCATTGCTTTTCCAAGTTAAGACACAATGAGATATAGAAGCAGATCTAGTCTTTTAACGATTTCGTTTATAGTTTTAGTCTTTTTCTCACAGACTTTCTGACCACCATTTGGAACCTCAATGCCATGCATTTAGGTGTCTTAAAGCCTCTTTAAATATTTTAGGAAGCAAAGCAGCATATTAGTGATTGTACGTATCCCATCTCATAGTGTTTAGATGTGTGGGTATTGGTAAGTAGTTGTACTGTTCTGTGACATGGGCACTGTAAGGAGAATGATAATAATGCCATCACTTACTGGCAACATATGACAAAGATCACTAAGCTCCTAGGTCGTCTGGATTCCCACAGCAACAAGTGGTATACACTGTTTGCATTATTCGTTCAGAACCCGTACTTTCTCTGATTTATTGGTCTGAAGCGTGATGCATATGGAGGCCTGAAAAATAAGGATGTGGCATATAGACAGGCTCTCCTGGGGTTATCAGGCATCTATACATGTGATGTGCAGGGAGAATTTGGTGGATGGAACTTAAGCCGGTACGAGGGGGGTGGGGGAAGAGCTGGGAAAGGACGCCATCTGTGCCCATGATGACAAATGCCATCATGGAGACTTCATTCGGGGTCCCTTTTATATATTTAGTGAAGCAGATTTTCCATTTCACACTTTCCAGATATATTTGTATTGCACAGATGTCAGGGAAATATCATGTGTGTGAGAGAAAAAAAAGATCAAAATTCACATCCATGGCCAGGGATTGTAATTCAATCATTTTGTCCTGAAACTGACACCCATTTAACGTGCATGGATGTTCCCTGCTTTTGCTTTTGCTTTTGCTTTGGAAGTTCAAGTCAGAGCAGTTTGAGAAACAGAAATCTCAGCCCTACACATTGTTAAAATTCAGAGACCTAGGTTAAGGGGGAAAAAGATGGGGAGAATAAAATTTAACATATAAGACCTTGCCATCAGTGCCATCAGTACCAGAGCTGATGAAATCAATCAGCAAGTGATTCCTCATCCTCTTTCCTGTAACACACAGATGAGCTGAAGAAACCACAGGATGCAGTCAATAAGTTTTTATCCTCAAAAGGACTTCTTTTTTTCTTTACCGTTATTCATAATTCCTTTTACCATCAAAACTTAAAACTACTTAATGACGTTTTCCTTCTATTTTGAATACAAATTATTTTTGTAGAAATGAGTTTTTTGAAATTGAAAAAAAAAATCGTTTTGAGGATTGTTGCCAGCTTTGTTTCCCCCTGCCCACCCCAGCATTGTCTTTGGTGTCCCCTCTACATGACCAGGCATAGGACCCACATATAAAGAGGATGATGATAAGGAAATAATTGGCATACAAATGGTACTGTGATATATGACATTTACAAAACCCCTCCCTGACTCCACATCCCCCATGATTGATTTTCTGTTCCCTTTTAAAGAATATGCTTCAAAAAACGTTGTCCCACTGGCCTTCTTCACTCCCTCCATCTCAGCCTCTAAAGACATATTTTATTGTGACATATTTGATTTAGACAAACAACACATTGAACATACATGAAATGCATGAAGCAAAATACAACACACACACACCATGCAGCCTGAGACCAGAAGATTACCGTCTTATTTGAAGCTACTTTTGTGTTTCTGCCCCCTCTCACCTTTTGCCTGTCTTGAGAGCACTTCGATCAGGTATCAGGCACTCGTTCCTGTCACTCCCCTCCCTGTTGTCATTAGGGTCACCAACGATCTCTACCTGGTGAAGTACAAGGGCACAGCTTTGCTGATCTCAGCAGCATTTTCCATGGGGGACCACTCTCTTTTTCTTAAGCACCTGGCTTCTTCCAGGATACCAGATTCTCCTGGTGTTCCTGCAGCCTCT